GAACCAAGCATATTAGTGTGTAAAGATTTATTTCTGGGAACTGAAGGCATTTTCTCTGATGAAGTTCAAAATCTCCAGTTTCTCAAAAGCTTTTGAAAACATTAACATAATATAAATGTGGTAATAACATAAATAATGTCACTTCAAAAGGGTCCATTTACTGGAAAATGTCAGTAATTAATTAAATATGTATGAAAGTTTAAATCATTAGCTTCATATGGGTTAAAATTCACAAACTAGGACTCCAACTCTGGAATCATGGAGAATCATTCAGAAGCTCATCTCCAGATATCAACAGAGACTCTCTTATACCTATCCCTGTATCTTTCACAATAACAGCACTGCATTTTATGAAACAAATATAAAAATAATTGATAAAATTGAAATCTTAGTTTATGTTTTTTTCAAGCAGAGAGACACAATAGAGTTTAGATATGGAAATAATTTGCCAAATATTGCAGAATTAGATGAATCTAAAAGCAGCTAAATTCAGAAGTTGAAATGTGCTTAGGCATCATATTATACATTCATCTTTAAAGACCTTGGTGACTTAACATTCAGGTTTTCTGTTTCACCTGCATTCTTATCATTTTGTCCCATTCTAAAAACCCAAACTCAAAGCTAATCACACAAGAATATAAAAGGCTTCCCCATAATGAGGAGATGCAGAGCTATCTTAATTTCTCTGTTCCTCAAACTGTAGATAAAGGGGTTAATCATTTGAGGGATTACAATGTACAACACTGAAGCCACTGCATTCTTAGTTGAAGAGTCAGAAACAGTGGAACTGAAATACACACCAAAACCTGTTCCATAGAATAAGGAAACCACAGAGAGGTGAGACCCACAGGTGGAAAAAGCTTTATACCTTCCAGCCACTGTGGGCATTCTGAAAACAGAGAAAAAAATTTTAGCATAAGAGAAAATAATTCCAGCAACATGAACACCAAAGAATATGTTTGCTGCTGAATAGACTAGAAGAGTATTTATAAAAATATCAGAGCAGGCAAGCTTGAAGATCTGAGCCAGTTCACAGAAGAAGTGAGAGATTTGCATGTTTGTGCAGAAAGATAGCCGCAGTGCCATCAGATTGTGGAGCAGGGCATGACTAGTGCTAATGACCAGGGAGAGAAGAACCAAGAACACAGAGAAATCAGGGGTCAAGATGACCTGGTACCTTAGGGGCTGACAAATGGCCGCATAGCGGTCATAGGCCATCACTGCAAGGATACAACTTTCTAAACCAGCAAAAATCACAACAAAGGTGCTCTGTGTGAGGCAGCCTATGTAGGTGATGCTCTGATCCTGTGCTTGGATGTTCACCAGCATCTTTGGAATCGTAGTTGTGCTTAAACAGATGTCACTAAGGGCTAGAATAGAGAGAAAGAAGAACATGGGAGTGTGGAGGTGGTAGTCAGAGCTGATGGCCAATATGATGAGCAGATTTCCCAAGATGGTGATCAGGTACATCGAAAGAAAGAGGCTGAAGATGAGGGGCTGAAGCTCTGGATCATCAGTCAATCCCAGGAGAAGGAAATCTGAGACTGCTGTTTGATTTTTGAATTGCATATTTTTGGTGCAACTGTGGAAAGGTGAGGTGAAAATAAAATGAAACAAGTATTTTGTGGGTAACCTCCAGTAAATTTTGTGTGTGATCTAAAGAAAAATTCTGGATGTGTTACACATGATCTATGAATGAGGACTTTGATTCTAAGTTGAGGATGCACTATGAGTGAATTGAATGTTTCTATAGCTTTTAAAAAGTGTCTTCAAGCAACATATGCTTGAGTCACTTTGTAAAACCATGTAAATTTTCAGCTCTTATTATGATCTCTTTGTCCCTCCACTTCTCCCTATTCAAATTTCTACTTCCTTTATTAAACACCCCTATATTTTCACAATTGTGTCAAGTACTGAGATTTTGATAAAATATAAGACATGGATTATTCTTTGTAAATAGGTCTTGTATTAAAACAAACAAGACATATAATGATGGACTTATTAAATCTATGTTCCAAAGCAGCTCTTTCCAATATATTTTTTTTTTACATCAAGGACCAATTAATGGAAGATAATTTTTTCTCAGACTGGGCAGAGGGTAGCTTGGGATGATTGAACCCATTAACTTTACTGTACAACATATTTCTATTGTTAGTACATTGTAATGTATTATCATACAATTTTATAAGTCACCATAATTAAAAGTAATAAAATTAAATCATGGGCAGACCTCATGCTGACTAAAGGTTTGAATTCTGACATAAAATCTGCCACCACATGTAGGTTAACTGTCATTCACTGCTCACTTATAGGATTTTGATGTGAGCCTTTAAGCAGTTGATTTACTATGACCTTTGTGAAGTTAAACATCCCTGCTAATTTTAATCCATATTTGCATACATTTTCTGGCATTATCAGCATAACATCTAAGTTCTACCTGAGATCATGAGGCATTAGATTCACTTAGGGAGCACACACCTAGATCCTCACACTTTCTCATACCTAGATCCTCACATGCACAGTTCACAGTGCAAATTTTTGCTTATATAAAATTTTCAAGTCACTGCTGATTTCATAGGAGGCAGAGCTCTGGTGGAGATATAAGGGATGGTGCTTGGCTATAAATAGAGCAAATGATTTGATCACTTGCTGTGTAAGTCAATTCCTAACAGGTTGTGGACCACTTAATGAGTTGATCCTGTTCTTAGTCAATGGTCTTTAATGTGGGCTAACTTCACTGTCACTTCAGTGACTTGTCAATGTACAGATGAGATAGTTTATGCTTTAGCCCAGTGGGCCCATAAGAACATGTCATGGAAAATGTATACACACATTGGAAAAATCATGGGGCAAGATTTAGCTGTGAGAGTGCTGGATTCAGTCTTTTGAATAATTGCTACTAGTAGAGAACTAGCATCCATATAGTCATTTAGTGCTTGTTAATATTCTGAACATTTGATATAATTTCTTTATGAAATAAATCTCCAAATTTTTCTCTGCTTTCAACTTTCTCCATCAACTGTACATCAAGTGAATTATAGCACGTGGAAGACAGCTATGCAGCTGGACATGGGAATTGATTAGAAAATTTCACTTTTAGAGTTGAAGCTCATAGAGCCCAAAACACAAGTGATCTGTCTTAGCTCATAATTCTAGGATAATCTGGGTATCAACATTGATAACATTGTGTTCCCATCCTATATTTCCCATAATGAGTCTGGAAATCTATAATTGCATAAAAAGCAAACACAGTAATAGATAAATGAGAGAAAGGTGAAATTCAGAGGCTATATGCAAATAGATGAAAATAGAAATGATTTCTTGCTTTGTAGAAGACAGAGACTTACTTAGTATTCAACACAGAGTTGGATAGTCAAGCATCCTAATAGCAGTGTGAGCCTTGCTCTTTATCTTCTGGAGAAGACAGAAACAGCTACATCAGAAATGATCATTTGACATAAAATGAGACACACAGGCTTTGAATTTAATTCCTCCTCTACCAGTTAATTTTGGGATGTGTAAAAATGTTCAATGGCATAGTTTACATTTGTGTACAGTATGACAATATTTTAACAATATGAGCTTCTTGAGTATACACTGTATTTATGTTATATAAATGATTTATATTCTATACTTATACTTCTAAATTTCAGGGTTAAAATCTTCATGAAGACATTTCAAGGATGTGAAAAATCATGCAAAGGCAGCCTGTATACTTTTAGTT